TGCCCTTTCCCGCCGATTCCTTCTTTTCTTCCCCCCGGATTCGGTTAAACTTGGACGCGGCGCCGCGCAGCCAGGCGAGGGAACGCGGCGCTCGCCGAAATGGGCCCAAATCCGGGTTTTTTGGGAATTTCTCGGCCCCGGCCGGGTTGTTTTGCAGCTCCCGGGGTGCTGGAAACCCGATCCCCCCTCACGTGGCCCTGCCGGCTCCGAGCGGATCCGCTCGGAAACGCGGCTAAAGGCCTCGGAAAAGGCGATTTTTACGGAGCAGGATCGCTCCTCTCCGGATCCCGGGCCCAGCTTCCCACGTGGGCCCACGGAGGGTGATTTTTTTAGGGAGATTTAAGCGTTTTCCCTTCAAGTAGAGGCAAATCCCGGGAGCTGAAGATAGAAATCCCTCTGGGACGGTCAGAGCCTTGTGGGATTTTTCCATGAAGAAGCCGCTCCGGGAGAGGGAAGCGGCCACCCCGGGGGGGCTCTGGAGAGGGATAATATCCCTTGGGAAGGACTCGGCTCCACGCGGAGCCGTCCGGGGGGGCGGGAAGGGTCGGAAAAGCCCCTGACCCCCCCCGTTGTCCGTAGCTTCTCCGCGAGCACCGATCCGAGCGCGGATCCCGGCGCCGCTCGCCATGGACACCGGCGTCATCGAGGGAGGCCTCAACGTCACGCTCACCATCCGGCTGCTCATGCACGGAAAGGTGGGAGCGCGGGCGCCTCCGGAGCGCCGGGAACGCGTCCGCTGCCCCGCGGCTCCCGGCGCTTTGTGTCCCAAAGCCTCCGCGTTGGGATGGGGAGGAGCGACTCCAACGGGAAATCGGGATGCGTGGGGGGGTCAGAGACCCATTTGGGCTTCAAAATGAGCGCTTTCCCCCCAAAAACGTGGCGTGTGGCTTCCCGAGGCCTGGCGGGGGTTGCATTGAGCATTCCTAACATCCGCTTTTCCCTCCCGTTCCAGGAGGTCGGCAGCATCATTGGGAAGGTGAGTGCGTGCGCACGCGTCCCCCCGTCCCCTCCGCGCGCGTCCCCGTCCCTAACGCCGTCCCCTCTCTCCCTGCAGAAAGGGGAGTCCGTGAAGAAGATGCGCGAGGAGGTGAGTGCCGGGGGGCCCCAAATCCCGGGAATGGGGGGGGGGAAAACCAAGGAATCGGCGGGGCCGCCC